CTTAGGGTTAGGGTTTTGACATTATCTACGACGATTGTTGGAAGCTAGAAGGGCACAAACCTCCATCAAGGTCAAATCCCTATCTTGCGATGTTAACGAAAGTGAAAAAATAGCTTGTATATCCGCCTCATTAAACAGTATGTGGTCCAAAATGTAATGGGTTTTTCATTGGCCCATGCTCCACCCTTTCGCCCAGGTTTAATGAAAAGTACTGACTCAAGAGTACAATATAGCCATCTATGGTGATGCGTTTATTGCCAAGTTTATTAATTGCGTTATTAAAAAAACTAAAAATATACACCATACTCTAATATCTCCAAAAAGATCTAAGTTCTGTACATTTGCTAACAAGAACCATTAAAATAGTAACAATTTAAAACAAGTCAACATGAGACCCAGGTGTCTGGCTTCCACATGGGCCCAATAAAAGCTACGGAGGGGGGGGTGTTGATCATTATTGATTATTTTAGATTTAGGTTTTATACGCCTTCAGACAAAGTTGAAGTGGAATTGGCAGATTTAATACTCCTGAAAGTTACGCTGATACTTAAATATACTGAGGGTGAATGCAGACACTGGTCCTGCGTCATACTGGACCGTTCAACAGTGAGCTGCAGACTGTACCACTATGTGTATGTGCCGCTGCGCATGTGCACTGTTGCTCGTATGTGTCTACGTGTGCACGCTTGCCTGTGTGTGCATGTTTGTGTTCTGCATGTCGTGTGTGTACTCGTGCGCATTCGCAGGCGCGTGCTGGTGTGTGAGAGGTGCTCCCCGTTGTGTCGACCGCGCCACCATGCCATCTGGAGAGGAAATCGAGTGTGAAGTACAGTATAGTTTGGGACCAAGCTCCGTGGCAGCGGCTCAGCAGTTAGTTCATTAGTTCCAAACTTCCAGGGATTAGGAGTGAATCTCTACGGCAGGGAAGCAGGGGGGAGTCAGGGAGGATGGAGGGACCCATGTGGGGAAAAGAGAGGGAGAGCGAGAGAAAGGCCAGGAGGAATACTGGACCACAGGGCACTAAGAGACAGAGAGGGAACACGATAGCGAGAGATAAACAATCTTAACCCTTAGGACCCTGGCGAAGGAGAGAGGAGTGAGAGGGAGGGACAATGAAAGAACAAGACAGCGAGGGAGAGAGGAGGAGAGAGGACAGGTGTAGCCGTCAGTTCCGCTCCGGGGTTTCAACCTGCCCTCCCTCTTCCTCCACCCCACTGATCATACAGATATGATGATATGTGTAAGAGTGTTAGAGCAGTCAGCCTTGTCTTCCCTCCCCTCTCTCCTCCCCCCTTTTCTCCCCTCTGGGTCTGTGGTGACAGTTAGCAAGCTCTGGGTGGCTCCTACCCTTTACTCCTCTTCTCATCTCCCTGCCTCGTAAGCAGCTAGCATCACTGCCAAGATGGAGCGTAGACATTTTTGGAGTCAAAGCGGCAGGCAATTAAAGCGGGCACTGCCGGATTTCACTTTCCAAAGGGAGGGGGTGGACTGACCTTCAATGGCGTACCTTTTTGTCATGAATATCCTTCTCTGTTTTAAGGTGAGGGTGACAGATAATGAAAAGAATACATTAATGAACACATAATAGGAGGGTGGTTCTGGGCAGAAGCCCCATTTAAGGCCTATCCATGCATACTCAGTAACTAACCTCACACTTCACCTAACGCAGTGTTGGCTTTATTAAAACAGAGGTTCGGATGGCATCAAGAAGGCCTTGACTTGCTTTGCTCCCATTATCTCTCTCCAGAAGAAAAAAGAAACAGTCATGCATTAAGACCATTGTTGAGGCCTGGGATCTCTTGGCAAATGCACAGTGCCAACTGAGAGGTTGTCATGGTGAATATAGTCGCAGCTATTGTATGCACCATAGCATTTGTCAGTCAAACATTTTTCATTTCCAATTCAGTTGGTCTAAGAGCAGAGTGGATCATAACGTTTAGCCCTGTCGGATTACAAAGTCAAAAAAGTAACATTCGGTTTTTAGAAACCTATGGGCTACCTATGGGCTACCTATGGGTTACCTATGGGCTACCTATGGGCTACCTATGGGCTACCTATGGGTTACCTATGGGCTACCTATGGGTTACCTATGGGCTACCTATGGGTCACCTATGGGCTACCTATGGGCTACCTATGGGCTGACTGTGGCTGCGAGTGCGGTCGTCTTTCAACCAGAGGGTTGTGGGTTCGATCCCAGCCAGTGCAGCCAACATGTCGATGTATCCTTGGGCAAGATACTTAACCCTGAGTTGCTCCCGATGGCATGGCCAACGGTGTGTGAATGTGTATGAATGTTAGTTCCTAGAGTAAGGTACACTGCTCTGTGTGAATGACATGTAAATGTAAAGCACTTTGAGGGGTCGTAAAGACTGGATAAAGCGCTATATAAGTACAGTCCATTTACCATATGTTGTAAGTGTTCAGAGCTTTTAAAAATAATTATATGTCTTGGAAGAGCTAGCATGCAGTGCTTTTTCAGCTCAAGGACCTATAACGGAAATGCGGTGGCTCCTTTCTGACAGTTTGGTCAGAAACATGAACATGAGTAGCAATGTGTGCTCTTCCTGTTCCTCCTCGCGCATAGGAGCAAGTCCTGCTGCTGGGTTGTTGCCCTTTTACGGCCCTGTCCAGCTCTCCGTGTGTAATGGCCCAGCTACTGGTATCTACTTCATACTCTGGAGACTCTGCTGGGAGATACAGCAAACATTATTGTGACGGCAACGAGGTGGCCACCTGTGCAACCTGCATGTGCTGCAGGTACGTCCCTCGTGCTCCAGGAGTGACAAGAGCACTAGTCAAATGTAAAACGTGAGTAATATCACCCAGAAAGGATGAGCAGATTGAACCGGTCTTTGGCCACCAGCAGCAAAACCATTCCCCTTTTTGGGCTCGTCTTGCTGTTGCCTAATTTGTCACAAATACAGGGGAATTTGATTCACAAATCATTTATGCTTCTAAACTGGACCTGTTCCATCCCAGAAGCTGAATGGACTGAGATTCAACCTGGGATGATTTAGTGTTCCCTGAAATGTTTTAAGCATTTGAGAAGCGCTATCGGATTTGTCAGACTTGCGTTAGAAGGACAACTTACCAACATAGCAGACACACCACATGTCATTACTAGGATGCTGAATGTACCAGACAATGATTCAATCGGGTGCTGCTGCCATTTGCACCAAATGTAATTCCAACACTGCATATTTAGCCTCTCTTAATTGAAAAAATCCAATGTATGTAAATATTTTTGCATGACTCCAAAAAAATAAAATATACTTAGGGCTATTAACTCATGGTATCAATCAATGAATATAATATATAGAGTATGAATACATATAAAGCAAATATTTTTGAATTTTTGTACGAGAACTAATTAGCAAAAGTGATTCCAAACAAAGAAATCAATATCCAAAACAAATGTCGTTGACACAGACCGGAACACGCAAGAGCTGTTCATCCAACAAGAAAAATACCAGCGTAAAGGGAAGGAAAAAAGACACAACAACCCCCATGGATTTTCAATCGCCACAGTGGAGTAAGAAGCTGAGAGTGTGGGAAGTGAAGAAAGGCCAGTAGGAAAGGTGCATTATGTTATTGAGTAAATAATACATTTTTATATCACACAGTATGACCTGGCAAATACATATTGGGTAAGTGGATTTTGGCCCACTGTGGCTGACTGTAATATGGATTTATGATGTCAAAGAATGTGATGCAATGCTTTGTAATGTATATTGCTGATGCAGCCAGATCAGAGGAAGGAAAAGTAATAGGATTGTGGGGCAGGGAACTTTAAGGTGAAATACTATTGTTAGAGAATGTATTGTTGGTATTGTTAGAGTTCTACTAGTGGAAGACAGAGAGGTTAGCCTATTCCATTACATCAAATTACTATTCATGTCTTACATTGCACTGTAACTTATATTTTACACCTTTCTTATTCTATGTTAGCCATTTTATGTATGTGTTTCTGTTAAGCTTTACTTTACCTGAATGCTTGTAATGTTTGTTTTGTTTGCCTTGTGTTGAAATGTGCTATATAAATAAAATTTTACCAGGGCCTAAATGCAGTCTTTAAAAAAAGGTACATCACACCAGATCACAAAAGGTCTTCTAGAAATGAGAAAAGATCAGGTCAAATTCAAAATTCCCAATTGATGCCACTAAACTTAGACTTTTAACCTTAAGGCGTGAAAACTGCTTTAAGAAATGAGTGGGTAAAAGCATGATACTTTTAAGGAAATAAAAATAGAGACACAGCTGCTCAAATGCTGACAGGCTGACATCCACTCTCTGAATTCTCCTCTAGCCTGAATGGCTGCATTCCTCTCTACATTTCCCCCTCTAACACATAATAAAGACAGAAGCTCTGACATCCACCAACTCCATCGCAGGGTCACAGTTTAGCCTGTCAGTCACACAGGCCATCATCTTATTGTCTTTGTCTGCTACAGGAACAGCCTGCAGCTATATCAATCATCTTTATTATCATGACTTAAAAACCTTTGTTTGTTAACTTTTTACCCGGGCCCCTTCTTTATCCCACTCTCCAATCACAATTTCATGGGCAGTTCAGCAGGGCCAATGGGGAGGCTGAGTGGGTGGGGGGAGAATGCTTTTAACCTGCTGCATCTGGTGCTTTCCCGCTGCTAACCCAGTGGGACATGGTCACCTTGTATTAAAGGACCCTGATAGGGGGGCACCACTGCCTTTATACTATCATAATAGGGTGAAATGTGCTTGTTTTAAACATCTCACTTAGGTAGTTTTCCTTTCAGTGATTAAGACCAAGCACCTGTCTGAAGGAGGCAAAGGTAATTAAAATCATTCCGGATCTCACAGCTGTGAGTGTGAGTGTGTGTGTGTGTGTGTGTGTGTGTGTGTGTGTGTGTGTGTGTGTGTGTGTGTGTGTGTGTGTGTGTGTGTGTGTGTGTGTTTTTTGTGCTCCTTGCTGACCTGTTCTTATGAAGCTGCATTTTATTTATACATGTGCATTTGTGTACCTTTTTGCTGAGGGCTACGCCATCCTCACAGTCCAAGACGGCACAGTCGACATCCAGCGAAGCTAGTTTCCTCAATTTCCGCTCATCATTGCCGGGGCAGTAGAGAACCGCCCTGCGGGGTATGTAGCGCAGTGAGGAGCCTGCCGAGTGGTGGTGATAACGCCCGGCCTCGGTATTCTGCCAGGCTGTGGGAAGGAGCCAACCCCTCTCCCTGTCAACACCAACATAAAACATACATAAGCACAGTGGCACAGGATGGAGCAGACACATGAGTTTGAGTCAATTTCATAAAGACTATAGAGCAGTGTCTGTTTAAACTGTGACTGTTCGGGACAGGCTGATTTCTTGGCCCTCAGTACTGACTTTCTCCAGAACCGCTCATCCACACAACAGAGTGCTTCATTTTAGTTAAATACTCTCGCAAAAAATGCATGTCTTTGGTGCATACATTACTCATAAAAACCCGCGGTATCAATACAGCGCTAAGGGCAATGAATAATGAAAGGTTGTTGCTGCATTCATCCTCATAATATCTACAGTTTTTATATTATACGCGAGGATCCAGAAGGAGGTCTCTTCCTCAACACTAGAGTGAAAGTCTGGAAACGTTTCATTTTGGGAGTTCTGTTTGCCCTTCAGCTGTCTATTGAAGTGAATGAGACACGTTGACCTGTGCTTTGGCTCCCTTTGTTGAGAACAAACTCACCCAAACACTGAGCCACTCATATGCTAATGTTGCCAGACTACTGAATATCTGGGCAGGCAGGAAGTGAAAGAGTAGGGGTGGTTGGAGCTGAGTCATGGAAACATTTAAGTTTAGGGAAAACAGAGACTGTGCTAAAAAGGAACATGTTGGCTATTTCAATAATAAAATAAAATAAAAGTGTAATATGCTTCACAGAAATCTTGCAATAGGAGGTGAATAAGCCATGTACAACTTAGCCACGTAAAATAAAATCAAAATATATCAGTATCAAAGACCGTTTATATACATAATTCTCATTTCCAAGGTCATTATAAAATTGAAAAGATCCTCAATTTTTTTTATTTGATTGTGAAATATTAGTTAAAAAAATGTGGCAACAAAGTGTCTGACGGCCATTGTATTTTTTTAGATGCACTGACTGAGCTACTGTGTGCCGCAGCAAGACTTGAATTAAGTTCATGATTTCCAGCTTAACAGCATGAACAATATTTACTTTGATATCCACACAATGAAATACCAGGCTGACAAGTTGTTGCCATGCTCATCATCAAATCTCCGACCTATAATAATCACAATTACTGCACACCAGTTTTAATTATTTGCTCCGTTAATCAAGCTTCTGAAACAACTTGCCCTTATAAATGGCTAAATGTTAGGATCAGAATTATCAAATTACAGCGAGAATCAGCTTCTCCCACCACCACCTCTCGCTGGGTATCAGAAGCCCTTCGAGGGATCATATTTGTAATTAGTGTCCTTCTTAGCCTAAGGAAGAAGGGGGCTACTCTTTCTGCTGAAAAGGGGGGCTGAATTATTCTGTTCTGCACTCGAAGAAGGAGCAAAAGTCACTTCAATGGCCACTTAATCCTGTCAACTCCGCTTCCACATGCCCTCCAGTCCCAATCAGGCCTAATCTGTGCTGAGATGGAGCGGTTGTCGCAGGCAGTTCAAACCAATCCAGGTTGCTTCCAGCACTTTAGTGCTTCCAGGTACAAAGAGCCTACAGAGACTGGAGACAGACTCACAAAAGCTTTAGGGAGAAAATATTGCAAAGGTTGGGCTCTAATACTATAGGGCATATTGTAAACCATTACAAAAAGGGTAATAGGATGGAGGTGGAAGGGTTGAGTGGTAGGGGACAAGGAGGGTGTTAAGACTTACATTATTATTCTTTTCTGTGCAAATCACTCAGAAAATAATTCTAAAAAGAACTATTCTGACCAGCTTCGAGACAAATATATTATGAGAAATTAAGTAGTCGAGTGGAAGTGCCTTGATGTTGGCTGGAGTCAAAAGCAAAAGGTTGATAACAGGGATGAAAAATGTTCCCCATAATTTGACTGTGCTTTCTACTTTTCTTGTGTAGCTAACAGGAGGTCTCATCCTAAAATAAACTGGCATGTCAGGAGTACAATTCAGCTCATTCTGAGTTTTCAAATGAATGCCAAAGGCATAACAAAAACGTTATTCTCCTTCAAGAAACAGTATAAAATCCAAATTTTGAGTTAACCATCATTAGAGACACAATTGTGAGATGCTGAAACCTAGCCATAATAACTCAAAGCAACTGTCATTTCCCAAACCAAATGTAACCATATCATTTCATTTACTTTTATCTTGTGTTGTTTTAGCATTAGGGTTTCACAATTAAATAGCAGAAGTGGTGGCTAATATTAAACATGTCCTTGTTCCACACTTAGACCCTAAAAGGAGTTTTGCACACACACACACACACACACACACACACACACACACACACACACACACACACACACACACACACACACACACACACACACACACAGGACATATCATCATTATTAGATCACTAGATTCTTGTGTTCTATATATTTAACAGTCCCCAAAGTACCATATGCACCCATGTTTTTCCCTCTACCTTCCTTCTTTTACATGAAAGGTTATGATAACACAGGGTTGTGTGGTTAAATTAGCAGCTGTAAAGTGGTGAGACATGGCCACAGCGACTATGTTTACTGGTCTGAGATCAGAGGTAAGTGTGTGTTAGTGGGTTTATATGGTGCTGGATAGGACTGGTTCTCATTAGCAGAGAGGCTGCAGTAGAAAAGGCCCAATGGCATTAGAAGGAGGAAGCTGAGGAGTGTAGTGAGCATTTTGTTAGCCTCAACATGGGTCATGATTATTGCAAAGCCAACAGCACAGTATTGAAGCTGCTTTATTAGCAAGTTATTATCATAAACAGCAAACTTCTCCAATCTAGCCGAGCAGATTTCTGTACCGTCTTCTTCCAACATCTGAGTGTATCTTAACAAAGAAGTTAACTGGTTTAAAATCTACTGATCTTCAATCCATCAGAATACCGTCTGATGATCTGACTCTCACCGTACGGTTCTCTGTAGTGTCCAACTACAGTAAATCCACCTTGAACCACATCCTTGCTACATATCTTATCTTCACCGCTCTCACACAGTCACTGTTCACATTCAGCTCCTGTTTCCCCAAGTTTCATCTTGTTATCTCTGAAATCCCCTGTCATGTAATCCAGACAGGTGTACTAATATTCCTCAAGGTAACAGTGACTATGCTATTTCCTAAGTCCTAAGAAATGTCATACTGTGTATGTATCTGGCATTTTAACGTCTACACATGCTTCTGGCATGTGGGGGGTCTGTGAACATTTTCAGCAATTCAGTATCAGTCATTTTAGAAAACACATAAGCACAACATTGGTGTAGTGATGAAACCCTGTACAGTAGAGTACATTAAAAGGGGAGCTATCATGCAAAATGCACCTTTTTATGTCTTTTATACATAAAAATGTGTCCCCGGCGTGTCAGGGAACTCACACAGCGTCAGAAAATAAAATTCTCTCTCTTCCTTCAAAATCTCTAAAAACGGGGCTAGAACGGAGCTGATCCAGATTTGCGTCCGATATGACGTAATACCGGAAATGTAGTCTGGCTTTACACCCACAGCCCTATTGGAAACGTTGCTATCAGAAACAATGCCCGACTGTTTTGGACGTAATATGGTCGGTGCATGTTTACATTAGCATCGCTAACACTCAGAGCTAACCTGTACTGCACAGAGCATTACATTACATTTCATTTAGCTGACGCTTTTATCCAAAGCGACTTACAATTACCGATTACAGGGACATTCTCCCTGGAGAAACTAAGGGCTAGGTGCCTTACTCAAGGGCACACTAGTGGTGGTGTTCCAGGCGGGATTTGAACTCACAACCTTCCAATCTTCAGCCCACCTCACTATCCATTAGACCACCACTACCCCAGCTTCAGCATGTGTGTGAAGAAGCAGGAAATAAAAAGGAACTCACCTTGTGGTATAACCGGCAAGAGAGAAAGCCTTTGAGCTCCATACTGTTTCAGAAATAATCCTTGATAATCCATGATATGGCGTTTCATCACCGCAGTTTCTGCCGGTAGAATCTCCCGCATGAGCTCAGCCCCCTCCTTTTGTTTTTCTATCAAATTTCTTCTTTTTTTTTTTTTTTTTAAAGCTTTATAGCCCAAATCAGCACTTTTGAAACAGGAAGTGAAATAGATGGATGTGAGACATGGCTAGAATGGGTGATCCGTTTGATATTTTGAGCAAAACACTTCATAGACATGTTTTTTATATATTTGTATATATCTGAGACCTATGCTATTGCCTAAAAATAGCATGATAGGTGCACTTTAAGTTCATATCATCAGTTAGGGGAAAAAAATGCTTTTAGTTGAACGATTTCGCTGACGAAGAAAAAAGATTGTTTATTATTCGATTACAGTGGGATTGAAGATTATGGCTATGTGGGGCTAAAATATTTCACAAAATGTCGTTTTCTGAGGAGTTCTAGGATGGGAGCCTTTTTTGTGGTGGATTTTGATGCAGTTTGCAATGTAAAATACAAGATGTTGTATTCTTGCCTGACAAATCTTATCAATATTGCAGAGACAGCTTTGGTTTCTTAAATTCAAGGCAGGGCACTTAAAAAAAACATCACATACTAAAAACTGCACACTTTGGCTGCATTGTACAGCATTATTTAGGATGGAAAGTAACAGGAAGGAAGGGTATATTAGATCTTAATAAATATTCAACTCGACACAAGATCTATGTCATAATATCTAGCCACTGCTGATTGCAGTCTGGTTCTCAATATTGTATTATGAATAGCCTGTAGTAATTGCTTCATTTTGATGACATGATGATCACTATTTCCTGTAACTCTACTGGCCTCCACCTGGCAGCATAATAGCCTAATTCAGGTGGTAATATTCATCTTACCATATGAATTATAGAAGATAACAAGAGCCCCACTCCAAAACAGACCCTGACGACAGCCTCCCTCTCAATATGTAGATTTCCACAATTATCTCCAGCATGGTGGTGCGGGCAGAAGCTGTGTCTAAAATGCACAAAATACAAAAATCTGTGTTTCCACCCCACAATAATCAGCTACTCCTTAATATGGATACTACATTCTGTGGTATGTGGTGATTAAGATTCCAGATTAAATTTGGTGAAAATGAAGATGAATAAAGAGTAGGGAGGAAATCGATGTTCCTGAAGGATAAACAAGCCCTCCTTCTGCAGAAAGCTGTCTGCGGGTGGGAAATAAAATGGTCAAAAAGTCATCAATATTTACCTAGCTTCATGTCCACCTGCCTGTCTGACATGTTTGTGTTTTTTAGAATGAAAAGGAGAGCTGAAACACTCCCCGAGCACGGCCCTGCTCTCAGCATGATGCTGTATGTGTGGAGGCTTTTTCTCCACACTGCCTCAGGTATGAGGACACAATTGGAAGGCAGACAGATGCTGAAAAATTAACCAGAGACACCCAAGACAGGGGAAGGAAAGAAAGTCTTTTGTTCTACTTTTTCTCTTCTCTGCCCCCTGCTTTCTTTGATTGCCCTGCAGCAAGTTGGAGCGCGGGATGAGCAATCCGTCCCCCTCCAGATCAGATGGGGGGGGGCTGGTATCTCAGACAAAAGTATACTGGACCTGCTTGCTTTATTTCTAAATGAAATGTATTGTGCTAACAATAAAACTACTGATTTAAAAACAACACCAGATATTCAATTTACCCTGAGCAGTTATGAAAGCAACATGATAAAAAATACAATGCTCCAACATAGTGGGAGAGATAATTATTACCAAAGTTTTCTGCTATTTAACTAAATTAAGCATTTCCTTTTGGCAGCGATTGGAGCATACAATTTCTTGTAATGTCACTTCCTCACATACTATCACCTTTGGACCCACATCTTCCTTTTCTCGCTTTAATTCAAGTGACAAGGATGTCCCTTAGCATCGACAATAGCCCTTACTCCTCCTCCCTTCCATGTCTTCTTCCCCTTTCCGGTCTCATTAGTTTGGGTTTTATGCCTTAATCTACACAATGAGGATGAAGTCATGGCGGTTATCTTCAGCAGCCAATGTCTGCCTACCTGTAATCCTTCTCAAAGTCCCCGGCTTTCTCCCAGCTCACAAATCGGCACACAATGCTTTTATGCAAGGCCTCTGCCGTAATGCCAAGAGACGTCTGCAGACTTTCTTTTCTCATCCCTCAACATAGAACTAGTTAAATCCCACTCTTACAGAAGAACTGAGATGTCTTTATCTAGGTCTCAGGACAGGGAAAAGTCAGAATGTAAAAGATATATAGTCCTATTTCTGTCCAGCTCTCTCCGTTTCCTTGTCTGTGTGTCATAGACCAATCCATAAATGAATTCAAGTAAGCATTGATAATTAAGTAGTTCATGCTGCATATATACACACAAAGTGTCATACAGAAATAAACTAATGATTAATAGAATATAACACTAAATGTGTGCAGAACAATTGACTTTAGTTGAACGTAAAACAAAAAAACCAAAAGAAAATCAATGAATTTATCATTAAAAGTTAATTGAGAGGGGAGGTCAAACAAGTTGCTCCATTTGAGGAGGGCATAAGGGGGTTAGCTTTTAACTTAGCATTTTTATTGACTCTGGCAAAACAAAATGAGCGGGCTCTGTAGGATTGTGCACTCTGCATTGGCCATTCAGGCCTTCAGAGCCCCATTGTAGTACTTTGAAGAGAATGAAAGGAAACCCCACTGGTGGAAATGCAGTGGAACAGCCCCACAACAGGCCACAACTGTTCCCTTATGCATGAAAGGCAGGGACATAAAAGACAAGATGGACTTCTGAGGTAGGGCCAAAAACAAAGGCAACAAAAGTGCTGATCACGAGGGGATGACACGACTCGTCTCGGCAGAAGGAGCAAGGAAAAAAGGGCCAGGGGACAATAGCACTCCCGGCCAAATGACATGTTGAAGAATTGAAAAATCCACACAAGAAGTGTCTTCTCAATTCACTAAACCCACAAGGGCTGGGTGACTGTCGGCTAGACCCTGGTCAGTCTGATGGGGGGTGGACTAAAACAGCCCACAGCTTTTCTCTCTCAAACTTTCTTTCCAAAATCTTTCACCGTTTTGGCAAGCATCTTGGCAAGGGCAGAGACAGACTGGGGTGATGGCTTTAGTCTGAAACACCAAACCCAAACCAAACCAAACCTAATCAAAGCATGGTGGGTTCCGCTCCCGCAGCTTCCGTTTTGATTTGTTGGCCGTCTGTGTGTCTGATCTGTTTCTGTTTTCTGCCCTAAACACAATTATGCCACTGCCTAACCTCCATGGAAACAGTCAGACGGACAAAAACATGTTTGCTCTCATTCAAACAGCTTGTTTTTTGTGACAGTGCTATGGCCGCTGATATTTGTGCCAATAAATCACAAGTCGTTTTTAAATAATGCTCCGTTAATAAGATAACTTCCTGTGGATTTACACCCTGTTGGCTTCTAGGCTGGAAACAACTTTGTATTTTTATTTCGTGTTAAAAGGAAATAAATATATATTGTAAATGTTTGTTGGATGCAGGGCTCAACTAATTAAAATCCATCCATCATGTTGTTTGCACCAAGGAGAAGAATTGAAGATAGTCAGCTTTATTTCCCTTACATTGATGAATAATTGGTCACACAATTACATCTTACTCATTGCATATAGATTAGAACATATTCCTCTTAAATAAAGAACCTAGATGCTTCTAAAGTAACAACCATGACTACTTGTTGTAAGCCAAATGCTGAACAGTGCGCTCCACAGGTGAAGGCCCTTCTCCACGATAGCCTGAGGCCTATCCCACAATTCTTCACACATACCCATGGGCCTTTCACTGGCCATCCCCCTGTCTGATTAATGGATCGATGTGGTAATTGATTAGTGAAGAGGAGGTGGGAATAAGAACATAGGTCAAACGTCAATAATGTCCCCCTCACAAAAGGTGGAAGACGTAAAATGTAACAGTGATAGCCTGCAGCCAGACCTCTACCCATCAAAGCCCTGGCAGGGCTAACATAAAGTCCCCGGCCCATTCTCAAGCCGGCCCTGCCCTCCCTCCCCAGCGCTCCTTTTCTCTTGGTAATGCCGTCTGTTAAAGTGACAGGAACCATTCTGGGAGCTGCTTGTCAGCTCACCTTCATAAAACAAGCCGTAAAGCAGCAAATAACAGGCTTATATGGCTTCATTATGCTGCCTATGTAGGATCACAGTCCTGGGCTGAGGGGGGTGGTGCTGGTAGTGGAGAGGCGGGAGAATGTTGGCAGGACAGCCTGGTTCTCGTGGAGGTTTGTTGTCCCAATGGCTGTCGCCATGTCCATGTTTGCTCAGGATAGAGGACCACTTGACCCCCTTCAACCCTGTGCTCCCTGAAATCCAAATCAGGACAAACAAAGAGGTATGACTGACTTTGTTGATGCTAGGACAGCTCAAATCTGGCATCATGAAAAACAATTCATCTTAATGTTTTTTGTTCTTTGTTTAAGCCCCTGTCACACTGTCCCGAAATTGACACCCGATGGACACACGAATATGGAATTGTGAATTTCGCACGAAGGTGGCCCCGAACCACACACGAAGGCAACATTTACATTACATTTAAGACATACAACTGCAACGAAAGTAACACAAACAATTATGTTAAAGTATTATGATACTGTACTGATATTTTCAGACTTTGTTCTTTACTTTCTCCGTCTTTATATGTAGAAGATATTAAGTTTTCTCCGTCATGTAGTTTCCATAGCAACAACAACTTCCTCGCCTTCAAAATAATATATTATATCCTTTTTAGTTTCACAGAACACAAATTGGGTTATTTACATAATATGTTTACATGATTTTTTTGTGCAATAAAACAACCAGATGGACACACGATAAAGGAAATGTTCAAATTCGGCTCTGATCGTAGCAACATCGGGCCATTAGTGAGGGCATCTTTGGCAAGCCAAAGACATTTTGCCACCGCTCCCGAAGTTGCTGCCGGAGCCTGATAAATTCCACCGGCGGTCATACGATGGCTTAAGATGCCCTCACGAATGCCTTACGAAGGGCAAAATGGACACACGAAGTCAACACGAAAATGAACCTTCACAAGGTCCTTCGGCAATGCTTTGTGATGCCAAAGATGTTGCCACCGCTCCCGAAGTTGCTGCCGGAGCCTGATAAATTCCACCGGCGGTCATACGATGGCTTAAGATGCCCTCACGAATGCCTTACGAAGGGCAAAATGGACACACGAAGTCAACACGAAAATGAACCTTCACAAGGTCCTTCGGCAATGCTTTGTGATGCCAAAGATGTTGCCACCGCTCCCGAAGTTGCTGCCGGAGCCTGAGAAACTCCACCGGCGGTCATACGATGGCTTAAGATGCCCTCACGAATGGCCCGATGTTGTTACGATCAGAGCCGAATTTGAACATTTCCTTAAATCGTGTGTCCATCGGGTGTCAATTTCGGGACAGTGTGACAGGGGCTTTAACACCACAAGATCATAATTTGGAACCTGAAACAATACCATCTGTAAATCAAGCGGGAAGAATGGTGTGTGTGTGAATAGATAGAGTGGAGATGAGGGGCCAGATGGAGCATGCATCTGCGACAGTAAACCTTTGGCCGTGGCAGGGCTGGACGTGAGAGAGATCCTCATTTATTTCATGCAAATATCTTTGGGCTGTTTCACAACTTGACAGTGGGGGAGGTGGTCAATATCTCAGGTTGTGTCTGAAAAACAGTTCCCCTGTTTTCTCTTTTTACAGTCAGCCACGGGTGCCTGGCAAAGAAGACGGCAGCAGAAGCAGCGAATGTGTGCACTTCTGTGCTTACCGTGGCACGTATCACTTGACTTGTTTCAAATGGAAATGCAGCCCTATAGTGGCATAACAGTTGTAATCTAATTTCAAAAAGCAACATTTGACAGATCAACTTATGTTCACATCATCACCTTAAAAATATAAGATGAGGCCTCTATTAGGGATTCAAGAACTATAAATAGGCTGCTGATATTAGCAAGTCAAATCAAAGCATAACGCTTGCAGAACATCTGGTAGGCAAGCTTACAGTGTGTTCAGCAAAAGTATCTGTCCCTTTATGTGCTTATCTGTCATCTGCAGAGTCCCAGTCGAGTAGAGATCAGTCACTTATCTCTTTAGCAAGGCTGCGAGGCGGCGGTACAAACACCATCACTGTGATCATTGTGTAGTTAATCGTCACCTCCATCAACATTAGCACTCTCTTACATGCTAACCAGAGGGGGGAAAAAAGGGGCAGCTGACGCACTATTCACACACGCTCTATTCTGATGCTGACACTTGTTCTCTGAGGGGAGGTTTTAGGTGTCAGGATTACAGTGCATGGAAGAAAAGGAGGAGGAGAGGTGGGGAGCTTTCTCCACAACTCATGTCACCGAGTCGGTTTAAAGTGGAAGCAGAGGGAGGAAGAGAGCAGGAGGGACAGGGAGCCAGGAGGGTTGATGTGTGTTTACTTTTGAGCTGACTCTCAACCAATGGCAAAGCAAAGAGCAACACATAAACTAGACCCATCTGACACAAAATATTCCAACACACACCTTTCGCTGCTTGATACAGACTGACCACATTGTCACAAGACCAACCACTGGTTATATGACCTAAATAGGCATCCTGTGAACTCCACAAAAAACACACAAAAGGTCAGAAAGGGTTCATATAAAAAGACACACACACACAGAATCATGGCTATTACATTCAATTGGCTCACGGCCAGAACAATTCTAATGTGTTGCCACATAACCATATGGATACACACATCCCTGCCTAATCTAACAAACACTGCAGCACACACACACACATTCTGGCCAGCACACAGACACACACATCCGGACTGTAAAACAGCATTGCCATCTTGAGCCCCCTGGATCACCGGAGCCATCTGACACTGTAGAGCCTGAATGCATTAAGACTGGCAAGGTGGCTGTGCTTTCCATCTCAGCTAGCACGGTTACATAACCCTCCATGTTATGAATGCATTAACAGTATTAGTACTGAAGGTGAGAACAAGCGTATTCACAAATGGTGCCACCTCACATTTACACGATGTTTAATGTTGCTTCTGGATGGAAAACCACTCCCATTAGGCTTATTATCCAAGAGAAACCAACTGCTGTTACACACTACATTCATGGGAGAGCAACTAAACAGGAGGCAATACAAAGTATTAGTCCATTTTGAGAATGCTTCCCTTGCATAAATCAACTCAACTATGTTTTAGATTTTAAACATGCCCTGGTTTACTCTACAGGTGTCAAGGGTCCTCTGGGGGGGGGTAAGAAAAGATTTGGGAAGAGTAGGTGCATGCAGTGAAGGGGGATTGCTAAAGGTCAAAGCAATTGCATTGATTAAGTCTGAAGTAGAGGGAAAGAAAACAAGAAATGGGCACGCATGGTTGCATGGGCAAGCTGAAAAATGGTCTTTCAAATCGCACTAGATGGGAGAATCTGGGCTGGGGAGTGCCTGTGTGAGCCCTGGATAAGGATATGACAGGGACAGTAGATCAGATGGTACATCAGACTATTAGGATATTTGGCCTGCGATGTGATATGTGCTGCGTCTGATCTCCTGCCCCCACCCATCCACCCAACAGGGCCCAGACACAAACACGCCCCCGTACCCCCTCCTCGGACCCCAGAAAAAAACTCTGACAGATGGGTGTACTGGAAAGATCCACTCAGGAGACCAAAACATACTAAGGCGCTGTCTGTCTGACGTTTGGATTTGGAGGGAAACGACCAGAGAAAAACAGGACAGAGAAAAAAGGGACATCTGTGGTATTTGTCTTATTTCCTCTCTTGTGGTACACGATGTGTCAAAAGTGAGTACAGTATTTTGGATCATATTCCATTTAATTAATGAACTCAAACCCAACATTCACACCCCAGCTCATAGCTACTCTTCCCTGTTAGTTGCCTGTGCCCCCAAGTGGTTGAAAATGATAACTGCTTCTCTTTTAAAGCAACTGCATCCGTTTTAAACTTGTGCACTGCCTCAGTAACCAAGAAAACTAAAGTATAGCATACTCCTTTAATCAAACATCAAAATAGCTCAGTAAACTTCAAAAACTCTTGTTTCAATATAATATTCAACAAGCAGTAAAAGGAAGGGACCAGATGCATTACAAATGGCTGCAAGATGATGTACTGTAACATGTTTTTTAAAATATTTTTACAAAACTCAAGTAAAACAAATATTTGAATTCTGGCTGGATGAATATTTCTCAAAAAAGAATAAGCATTAGCCGTCTTTCATGTTTGAATGTTGAGATCAACTCTGCCTCTTCACAACTTGTTAAAATAAGTTTTCCTGAATGAATACAAATGTGTTACATCTGCTGATTTAGTGAGTATCAAGATGGCAGAGTAATATCCAAGATGGCGAATAAAGTAACAAAGAATGACTTGGCTTCAACACATAGTTTTGTCATGTTCTTGAGGTTAATAGAATATCCCCAAAACAATCAGAGTATAATGGCTTTCAACCATAGCACTGCTTTTTCCCAATATTTTCTATTGGGGGAAAACAAAGACTCATTGAAACCATGTTTGAATGACTATTTAAAGAGCGATTTTAAGTAATAAAGCTGATGCTCCCTATAGTGTTGTAATGACAGACGCTTCATTCTTTTAACCAACGGGGATGCCTTTTGCCCTCGACTTCTGCCCAGCCCCAAGCTTTTAATTAAGACTGGCTTAGGCCCGATTGATCCTGACACACCAGGAAGTTTCTTGAAAATCTGACTGCCAAAACCATGGAAGTATTATATAGGCCACAACCCCCCATAGCAGCCCACAGCCCCTCCCCACACCCCACATAAAACAAGATTGTAAGCTGAAAGCCCTTCCAGTCAGTCCAAGAGATCTTACATTATGAGGTATGCCGACACATTCGGAATTAACTCTCAACTACACAAGCATCAACATGATTTTGTTGGCAGTTATACGCACATTATAAGAAATAAGCAGGTAGGGGATTACTCACCTATTTCTTATCCCCTTCTTTCACCAACCCATATCAAATGTTAAACCACGAAATTGCTTGACAACAGTAATTGAACTATTAAGTCGTGTAAACTTGGTTCCTCACTATTAACTTGTTATGGCTTTATTAATTAAATACGAGAAAAAAAAGTACAGCAATACGTCTCCACAACAGGCCTACACACAGCCACATCATTAAATCAACAACACATTTCCTGTAGCTAAAGCTGTGATGCAAATAGGAAACTGGGATTGTCAGAGTGTCGGAGCTCAGTGTGCTGCGGGTGTTGTGCACCACATGGAGAGAATTCTTGTACAGGCTTTAACCGCAACACAGCCACTGATGTCAGAGAGCCCCATGAAAGTGCAAGCGCTCCACAAACACCGCCTTCATTTCATGGTGTTCCAGTATTCCACAGGGTTGAGTCCTGTGATAATGCTACAAATATAGTAAAGCCTTATGTGAACTAAATATCAACTTGTAAGATCGTTTAGTTTAGCTGACAAAAATATTGCCGGACAATATGTGAGTTTAAGGTTTAGTCGAAGACATACACGACTTTGAATAAGGGAACCTCGCCACCTGAACAGTTTCTTCCTCTCTGCTACAGGCCTCATCAATAAGGCCCGCCCCC